CAGCTCCTCTTTTCAAACTTTCCCCGAGACAAACAACTGAGCCTCAACTTGTAGTGCAATTGTGCTGCCAGTAATTGTGCTGGTGCCAACAGTATAATTCAGTATAATGGTGAGACAGTAACACGACAGAGTCCTTCCCAAAGGAAACTAACGGCATCATTTTTTTAAAAGCAAAATGAGCCTGTGGTTCATTAGCTCCGGTCTAACCAGTGTTATTAGAGCTATTTCAATCTGCATAAAAAATGTCTAAGTCGTTCTTCCTGTAATTACAACGAGCTGAGTCAACTGCCCACAACCAAATGGTCTTCCTCAAGGGCAATTTGGACACGCTGGTAAAAGTCAAACACTCACTTTGTTGTGACCACATTAATGTCAGGTACGGCCGCAGAGTGACAGACATGTGGGCACATATACACACACATTAACACACACACACACAAACACAAATACACTCAGTCATAAACAGAAGCCCTGCCCTTACCAGACTTAACACCAGCTAATTGCTCATGTATGGCTCCTTTCACTACACATATACACATAAGAGTGTGCAACAAAGCGTGCTGGCCTGCTGGTCCTCGCTGTCTACAGCTGTGACGTCTCAAATGTGGCGTGTTGTTGATATAACGAGTAACACAAGCGGGAAAATTGGAGCTGGTGCTGGTGGGGCCAGACTTCAGACTTCCTGATAGGAAGAGAGTGGAGGTTGGCCCATGTATACATTTATATATAGATCATGGCTCCCATCTGGGGCCTTTAATATTGGCATGGGGCTCCTTCATTGGTACAGAAGTGTGCTAGAATGATGCTGTACCGCTTACTCCCCACTCAAGATGAAGAAATAATAGTGATCTGGTTAAAATTCAATCATCAGTGAATCATATTTCATGCAAGAAAACCAATAAAGCAAAATTCAAAAGGCAAAGCTGTCATACTGACATTTAAAGCGCTTTGACTTATTAAGCACACCAGCTAACTAACACATCAAGAAAACGTTCTACCCTGAAAGTTACCAGCACCTTTAAATGACTCAGTGAATTTGAGACAATTTCTCAAGAACTTGGAGATTTATTAGATAATATTAAAACATCCTTTTCCACTAGTACTTACTCGCATCTGAGGTGATCCGAAAACGTGACGTCAACAGACTAGTCATGAGAGAATCTCCACCACAAAATTCAAAACCGCCATTTCTGAAACCCAGCAATGAGCGAAAAGGATTACAAACAAGCAACACTGTCGTCGCCGAGTCTGACAAAATGCCTTAGACCAAGCAAAAGGTATACCATTGCCTCAATGTCCTCCATTGTTGTTTTGTTCATGTCACATACAAATGGCGCTATGGGACTTCTGGACGCATGCTATAATGACCCCACGTATGTTGGGTGGTATTCGATCGTACTGGAAAATTAGTAGAGTTGGACCAAGCCGATCAAAGTAGGCACTAATGGAAAAGGGCTGTACGCGTAAATACAAGGGAGGAAGAATGTAGGTAGAGCACTGAGAAGTGAACGATTAAAAAAATCAAAATCACTTTTCCATGACTTCAATGGAAAACATCATGACAGACATGAAACAAGAGTTTCTAGACTTGAGGGAAAAAAGGATGGGCTAAAAAAATGCTCTGCTGTTTTTAAAGTCCTGTAAAGTCCTGAAGATTGGTTTTTATATATAACAAGTGCTTTGTAGACAAAGTGTTCTTATTGTTTTGTTTCATGCAGGTAAAAACTATTTCCAATACCAAGAATGTAATTTTTAAGTAAAAAAAAAAAAATAGACAACAAAGTTCAGGCTTTCTGTGATAAAAGTCATGATAACCCTAAAGGCTGACACACAGCAACGGGGAGAACGCATACAAACTGAAGCTCATAGACTTTATTTACAGGTATGTCTAGGTTCTTCAGACAGGAAACAACTGTATAGGTGTGCTCTGGTACTTAAACCCATTGTACTACACCCTCTTCCCTCACAAAAAAAGAGGCCTTTAGACTAAAATGACCTACATCATATAACAATGCAAACGCTACAGACAGTGTCATTTAAACCCATGATTCCCCAGCTTTACTCCAATCCCTAGAAACTAAAGGAAGTCAGCATGAATCAGACCATAAATGCCGAAGAGCAGGAACAACTTAAAAACAAGTCCAACAACCAGTGTGAACTCCTTTAAACTGTTTGCAATCTTATCAGCAGAGCCAAATTAATAAATCATTCAGAAAACAGACAAAGGTAGCTATCTTTTTGCTGAATGGTTCAAACAGTCGTTGGTCCACTTCTTTTGAAATAAAAGGAAATGCAATGTAGCTTCGGCAATCTGATCCTCTGGATAATTAAAGTCTTTAGAGAGGGCTACAATGTTCAGACATCTGAAATAGGCCACATATGCTGCTCTAAAAATAAAGTGGTCACTGTTTAAGACTTTTAATTTCAGCACCAAAAAATACATTTCTTGCACCTGTTGAGCATTTTGTGCAGTGGACTGGCTGCTCATTGTGATTACATAAACTTATTTCAGCACGATGTTCAGATCCATATAGCTAAAGAGCACCCACTGGGAAAAAATGTTCACGTTATTCATAACTCTGTGATCCAAGAGTTATCTGGGGGAACAAAGAGATCTGAAAGTCGTATTTCTAATTATGATGTTGTGTTGTGGTGAGGCATTCCCCACTCAAACATCTATTATGGGAGCTGGATCCACGCCTGCCCTCGATTACCACAAAGCACTTTTGACTAAACTGAGTTTAAGAGCACCTAAATGCACAATGGAAGAAAATCATAACCTGTGAATGGAAAATCATAATAATCTCGCTGAAACTAAACATGTCGAAGAAAAATGAAAGGAATTTCAAATAGCAGGGCCTGAGATTTCTGGGTTAAACTCCATTTAAAGTCCCAGCAAAGGTGTTAACCGCACCGGATCAAATTCTCACGTGTCAGAGGGTCAGACAGGTTTACTTTCAAAGTGCCCTGCAGGAAACACAGAGCACATTAAACTAAACAATGACACAAAAATATGCAGCACTAACCAGGACAGTTAAAATATCTCAGCTAACAATCACCTCATTCCTATGTAGGGTGACCAGGTGTCCCACTTTAAAAATAAGTAAAAAAATAATGTCCTCTCAATCCCACACATTAAAACAATGTCCCACACAGCATTGATATTTTAGTTTGCGTAATATCATGTGCACCTGGGGAATTCGCTGGTATAAGCGATCTTATCTCTTATGAGATTGACGTTTTGTTAAGGATCCCTAACAAATAAAGACTAAAACTAGACTGAAATGTGTGGCTGAAAGAGTTGCGTGGTCTAGATATGCAACAATCCAATATATCGGCCCAATCCTAACTGACGACGCTAGATTGGTCACTGGAAGCAACTTCCTGATCTGCAGGCTGACCTATTCATTTCAGTTTTGTTTTGTGATGAGAAATTTGAAGAGACATTTCTTAATGCCAAACCTGTTTCCAGCAATGTTTTTTGTGTTGTTTCTTTACTTAGACTTATCAGATCACCCTCACACACATTCTCTCTGCCCCACATTTACGGTGTCTGGATCTGGTCACCCTTATCAGTTGCACCCTTAGTTAAGTTCCCAATCCAATTATGTAGTCACTCTTCACATTCCTCTTCAAGCTTTGATGTAGTGATAAGTAGAAATGTGGGCTGGCTTCGGCTTAAAACAATCAAAACACCTGGTTAGTAGTTTGCATTTCATCACTTCCTTGACGTTAAAGTTTGGTCAAAGCTCGGTAAGCTTTGGATTTTAAATGGCTCTACACAGAAATTCCCCATCTCAATTTCAGTGGCGTCAAACACATTTCAATTCAAAGTTGCTTTATTTTCTCAGCACTGCTCTGTCGGAGCAAGATGGGTCATAACATGTGGCCCAGCAAAAGGGCTCAATTTGGCCCACTGTAGAGTGTGAAAATTCACTGTTATTCTTTGTGTGGTCATGCCCACACTAACCACACAGGAGTGAAAGTGTGTAGAAAGTATTTCTAAATGTAGACCAACTGTTTGAATCATATATATATCTCGACATTGTTACTTAATTCGAACTACGTGCGATTTGTTTTCTGTTTCCATTGTGATGTGATGTTTTTCCTTTGTTATAGATAACCCAGAAAATTGATCAGAAATATGTTCTGTTAATTTTAGTTGTGTAGCAAGGGGTCTCTCTTTTTCCCCTCTGAAACCTCGACTGTGGTGAAGGTCAAGATGTCCATTTCTTACACATAAAAAGAGAAAAATCTGAAGGGGTGTTTCTTTAAAATATAGGTTACTATGCGGTATTACTGGTCTGGACCCGGAGATCAAACTGGGCTGCATGTGGCCCACCAACCACAACGAGGTGGTGTCTTTCCTCCACAACAATGCAGATAAACAAACTTATAATTACCGTTGGGAACCTCTTCCAGACTAGGTGCTGCATGAAAACTGTGGCTGCATCGCTATCAGTGCCAATGCATGCAGTGTTAATGACCCGTGTAGTCAAACTAACTCATTAAATTTGAAACTGGGTGCATTAACAAATTTCCCACGTGTGGGACTAATAAAGGTTATCTTATTGTGGCATCAACAATAAACCAAATGCAGAGCTCTTGTTACGGTGAACCTCGGCGCTGACCCCGACTCCTCACCACTGATCCGGAAAATTAGGCTAACTCTTACTGTAAATCTCTCATCTTCATTTTACCTTAAATGTTTTAAGTTTTCAAATAGCTCATTTGGGGATGGTTCGATCCTCTTAGACGTGTAAACATAACGGTCATGAGTGAGAGTCTTTCTGGGGTTATTAAAAACAATAACAAGAGGCTCGGATGGATTCTCTCTAGCGCCATAATTTTGTCACACTTTCCCTGGAGCGGAGAGTTTGTTAGCGTGCTAACCAGCCTTAGCCGCCGATGCTAAGCCCTGTTGTTTTCATTTGAAGAACAGTAGCGGGTGATAAAAGTTTTTTATTACTATTATTAAGTGTGTTTGGGTGCTCACTCACCCGTGTCCGCCGGGGTTTTCATCTTTGTGGTAGTCTTCGGTGAGCCGCAGCCGCTTCGCTCACTTTCCCCGTCAACTTTTGAGTGTTTGTTGGCTAGCGCTTAGCAAAGTTAGCTAGCGAAGTTAGCAGCGACACCCCCACTCCTTCCTCCGGTGTTGTTCTCACAGGCGGCTTGTTAGAAGGAGCCTGCGCCGATTACGGGCTCCGCTTTCAACTTGAAAACCAGCCGCAAACTTCGCATGGAGTTTAGCGGTATAACGCGACACATCTACGCCTGCCCAGAAACTTTTGCGCCGGAGTATTTTCGTTCACTTGCGGGGGTTTTGGTGCGGAAAAGTTGCCCCGAGTCTCAGGAGGGGGGGAAATCCAGCCGCCAGGGTCTGAATGGCGCAGGTCAAAGTTTGGAGGAGCCGTGCTGCTCAGAGCTGGAGCAACGGAATGTGACGAGTCTAAATGTTCATCCCGTTTGTTGCAGCCATGTCGCATGGTCGATTCCTCCTCCTCACCATCATCATCACCCTCCTCATCCTCAGCAACAGTCCAACAGCGGTGCTTCAGAGGCGAACAAAAGTACCGACTCCTGTTCTTTCTCCTTCCCTCAGACTTTTTCCACTCACCCAGACACTTCGTGCTCTCTCTCTGCCCCCCTTCCTTTGGCGGGGTGTCGTGTTTCGCTCTGCTCCTGCCACACGGGGCCGCCCACGCTGACCCACGGAGGGAGGGAGAAACTGAACGCCTACTTTGTGCCGAAGATCGTCTATGTCTATGGAAGATTACCTTTTCCAGGAAAAGCTGCAAGGTGGGACGAGGCAAAAAAAAAAAAAAGTCTGCCTGCCAGGGGCGTTTCCATCGTTTTTTTTTTGTTTAAATGTGGTGGCACAAACTGGATCACGTTACTCACGTGCCATATAGCAACTGATGGCCCATCAAAGTAGCACGGAAATAAACTTACGAGAATGATTTTTTCTTAAAAATTATATCCTGACACGAACATGACCCTCTGCAGTTGGTAGAATACAGCAATTTGTTTAATGAAAGGAGAAAAGAAGGAGGTCAACGGCAGAGAGCGAGGGCAGGAGACAGCAATAGATGGGTGTGTGAGGACACTTAGATAAAACATAAAACTGTTCTTATATAAACCATCATGCTATCACTTTGGCTGCTTCGTGTTCAAACTAACATCAGGTATTTTAACACCTACTGCTTTAACAACCGCTCATTGTAGTGAATTAGAACAGAAATATTCTGCTCTGAAGCACTTTTTACTATAAGCCTCATTCTAACCACAGCTTTTTCATTCAATGTTCACCTCATCTAACTGTCTCACACACACCGATACACAGTTCAGGTTCAGAGGAACCAAGGGTCAACCCACTAACCTTCTCTACATCCTGAGGCACAGCCACTCTATATACAGGGGGGAATAAAATCATTTGATAGTATCTGATAGAAGTCTATTTGCATGTCATTGAGTGACTACCCAGCCAGAGGAGCTTGTTAAAGATCTGATGGCAGCTGGGAGCACAGTTGCAAAGAACACTATTGGTAATGAATGGGACCATGTACCAAAAAATCTTGGATGAGGATCTTCTCCCCTCATGGAGAACACTGAAGATGAGCTGTGGATGAGTCTTTCATCATGACAATGAGATATGTGTAAAGCTGGTAACAAACTACAAGAAACATCTTACTGCTGTGCTTGCCTACAAGGGTTTCCCCACTCATTCAAATCAAATCAAATATTCAAATCAGCATAAGTTTTTCAAAAAAATCCAATGTAGTGAGCTTTAATGTAATGTGAATAAAGCATTCCATAATATCTGTGATGTATGTATATACGTCAAGAGTTTAATCATCAGTCACATTTCAGAAGTGGTTGGTGCCACCCCACGACCCCCCTCTGTATACACCCCTGTGAATTATATGTAGCAAACACTTTAAAAGCATCTTAAAGGTGTGTACTGAATATTAGCATCACCAAAGTTGATAAAAAGTAAAACATGCTCTCAATTTAACCTTTGGCTCCTGAATAATGGTGACTTTCGACCTTTTGGTGAACAGTCTGTGTTGAGGGTGTGTGGGATCTTTGAGGATGGAGGCAGCTCTCCTCTGGACTCTGCGATGGTAGATGCTCTGCAGAGAGGGCAGCAGAGTCCTGACGATCTTCTCCGCAGCTGTTATCACTCACTGCAGGCGTTTGCGATCCATAGCACCAGTGCTGCTGTACCGTGCAGTGATGCAGCTAGTCAGTGTGCTCTCCACAGTGCAGCTGTAGAAGCTGCCGATGATCTTGGCTACTCAGTGCACAGAGTATTAATATAGCTCATATAGTGCAAAACATCCCACAATGCCCTGCAAAAAGTGACGTGCGCCCACTACACCACCCAGGCTTGATGCGCTGCTCTTAAGAAAAAGTGATGGACAGATGAGAGGAATGAGAGCGGTACATCATAACATAAACTGGCACAGCGTACGTTTTATGTATCAACAGAAAATATACGACACAGTGGATACAACATGCTGATTTTGATTCATCATTTTCACTTTAGTTTAGTTTCAGTCGGCTTCCAGTGTGGGTTTGCACCTTTCAGTTTACATTTATCATTTGAAAATGTCCAGTTTTAGATTTGTTTTTGTTATTTTAAACATTGGTTTTAACCTTTTTTAAAAATATTATAATTTGGGATTCGGGATGTTTATCATGTAAATATCCCAAATCCACATTTGCTGAATATTTTCTTTTAGTTAGTTTTGCCCCTTTACAAAATATTTCAGCGTGTTTTTTTTTTTTTTAGAAGTCTTGTTTTTATTTCCGTTTCAGTCATCTAAAATCATCTGCCACACCTAGTTTTTGTTTCAGTTTGGTTAATGATAACCTTGAGCTCATTTTATAGTCCATTACAAAGAATTATCTATACGGGTAGGACATTGTGAATAAGTCACTGATTTTAAACATTGTCCTTCTACAAGCAAGTCATACAACGGAGAAGTGATCATAAACACCTATTATTTGCAAAGTAATTTTGAAGATTTATCTAAACTAACTATAAATTGTCACCAGAGTGTAAAACCTGCATACAATCATATTCTTTGCATTAAAATGTGTACTGGTCTCTGTGTCACAATTGATAAGAGAACAAAACATCAGTTAAATCTGATCAAAAGTCTAAAAGTACCACCACCTATGTTATTACTGCATTTTCCATAGTTTTTAATTTAGGATTCTTAAATCCTGAGTCAAGAATCTTAAATCTTAGATTTATTTATGACGTCCCCTCCTTGTATCATCTCTGTTATAACTTTTAATCACTTCATGAACCGATCTTGAATGACTTGTGTATTAGCTTATTATTTCTGAACTGTGTGTATGTTTGTTTAGGCCACAGTGACGTTTATTTATTTATTTTAATCACTTTTCATTTCATGTTGGTAGACAACCTGACAACATAATGCTCTATAGTTAAAAAAAAACCCCAAAAAAACCAAAACATTTTTGGTTGTCTAGACCAAAATACAAAGTTTTGCTCTACAAGGGCCTGATAACCACTTATAAGGACATTATACTGCCACTATCCTATTGAATTTTAAAGCAAATATCCTCATATGGATCTCATTTTTCTTAGAAACAACAATCAGGAAAAAACAAACAAAACAAAACACAAAATTCTTTGTTTTTACATTTATCAGGTCCCAATCAGCCCAAATAGCAAATAAAAAAAGAATTAAAAAAATGCATGCCATGAAAGAGTTCGGGTCTTAGGAGGTTAAATGTGTTTGATCAAGTACCTTAGACTGCATGTCAAACATGGATATGGCCACTGTAATGTCACCCATATTTCGATGACATCTTGCAGCCTTAGGCTGTAGCTTTCTACTTGATGATGATTGAGGCGTGGTTCTTAAAAACTGAGGGTCAGTATGTAAAGCAGCGACTTTTCACTCACAAGGTAACTCCAACATAAAACAGGCCCAGCTTTATCATCCCTTGTAACTCTAATGAGGCCGGATTTGACAAAATGTATTTAATTAAGACCTGCTGCTACATGCTGCCAACTCAACAGGAAAGCGTTTTCTGAGATCATAGAAATGAATGAATGCATTTAAATAAATAAGCCCAGAGGTCAATTACTTAGTCTTACATTCTTTTTACTATCAGAGGAGTCGCCCCCTGCAGACCTTTAGAAAGAATAATCAAAATAATCATCATTATTATTGTCATATCACATGCCATTGTTTCAACCATAAAGATCAGATGAAAAAAAATAGACTGATATTTCAGTGGGACAACGACACATGAAAAAAAAATGTATCTGAAACAACAAAACAAGGGAAAAAGTGCATGAACAATTATGTACGGTATACACACGACTCACTCTGACACGTTCCACTTTTTTTTTTTTACCCAGAGAAGGTAATTTGAGTATTTTTAGACTCACTATATCTAAATTAAAAAAAAATATCTAGGCCCCCCAAAAATTGCTAAAACTACCAAACTTTAAATTCTGACTTTGCAAACAGGAATTAAAATGGGCTGAAATAATCCAGAACTGCATCCTGGCATCTTCATATAATGAGCATTTAAACCAGATAAGCAGATTAATGCATATTACAAACAAATGAGTTAATTTCTTGTGCTGCCTGGTGCAGCGTGGATATGCTAAGTCATTAATAGGAAAATAATAACATCCCACAGTCTGCTTTCACTCTCAGCACATTTCTTTTCCCTTCTCATCCCTGTGGTGTGTTCACTGTGCAGATGTAAATAAAGTTACGATCGATGTAACTTCAGAAGCTAGCTGAGGATCAAGCATAAAAAAAAACAAAAAACATTTTTGTTAAGTGACAGATCATTTTAAAGGCAAATTCAGCAAATGTGATCAAACTGGCAGAGAAAAAAATGTTATTGTCTGACACTGAGAGCGGGAGAAAGATGCAAGAACGACAGGACGATGAGAGAAGATGCGAGAATCAGGAATGCTCAGCAAGTGAAATTTTATAGTCTGGAAATTTAAACTTTACACATAATATCCTCATTTATTTAATAAATTTTGAATCCAATACTGCATCTTTATTTCTGAGCAATTGTCTTCCCCACTCTACACTACTACTCCTGATCTTAGAGGTTCCCATTCACCCATCCATTTTCTGCTGCTTGTCCAGGTTGCAGGGGGGCAGCAGGCTAGGCAGAGAAGCTCAGACTTCCCTCTTCCCAGCCACCTCCTCCAGCTTATCTAGGGGAAAACCGTGGTGTTCCCAGGACAGCTGAGAGATATAATCTCTCCAGCATGTCCTGCGTCTGCCCCGGGGCCTCATCCCAGTAGGACATGCCTGGAACACCCCACTCAGGAGACGCCTAGGAGGGATCCTAGTCAGAAGCCCGAACCACCTCAGCTCTACTCTGAGTCCCCCCCAAATGACTGAACTCTTCACCCTTATCTCTAAGGGAGAAGCCAGCCACCCCTTGGGGAAAGCTAATTCTCGCTGATTGTATCTGTGAGCTCATTCTTTCGGTCAGACCTAGAGCTCACACATTGGCGACTGTAGGTCAGGACTCCCCAGCCTGCAAAATCACACATTCAAAGCTTTATAGTGGGAAACAAAGTTAAATCTAAAATATCTCATTAAAATAATGTATTACATACAACTATTTGAAATAAAACAACAGTAATATAGTAATATTAATGCTGGTACCCCCCCCTCAAGAGAATTTCAAATGCTCACACTTTGGTCCGCAGGCCGCATGTTTGACAGCGCATGTTTTTGTTTGTCCCAAAGCCCA